TGGGATTTATTCTTTATATTAATTTCTGTCACTGTCTGCCAACAGTATATGGGTTTCTACGGACCATGATGAAATTGAGAAGGTTGCAAAGCAGTTTGGTGCTCAAGTTCATCGCAGAAGCCCTGAAGTATCTCAGGACTCCTCAACTTCTCTAGAAGCTATCAGAGAGTTTCTTAATCATCATCATGGTAAATCAGTAATGAAGTATGCTGAGCTTTTACATTGTAGCCCCAGAAGGATGATGCACTTATTATGTAGAGAAATAAGCCTCTAGTAAATGCAAGATAGAAAGATTCTCCTTTTTTTTTGGTGGCATCAACTCATATCACACTTTGCAGTTGTATGTATTAAAAATATTAATAGTTTAATAAATTAAATGTTTCTTTGTTTTTCTTTAGAGGTTGATATTGTAGGAAATATTCAAGCAACATCTCCCTGTTTACATCCCAGTGATCTTATAAAAGTGGCAGATCTGATCCAGAAGGAGGGGTTTGATTCTGTCTTCTCTGTTGTGAGACGGCATCAATTTAGATGGAGCGAGGTAAAGAAAGGAGGTAATATTTAGCTGTTTCTGGTTACAGTTATACTTAATCGATTTTCTTTTTAATTTTTTTATTTTCATACCTATGGTATATAGATTAAGAGTGATATTAGAGGCAGGGCCTGAGTTCTTGGAGAGGCATGAGATGGCTTAGAAATTCTTTTAAGTAGTGCTGTTTTGATATTGCTGATCATTGCTCAGCCTTTCTGTGATTGTTTCATAGAAATGATATCAAAAATTAAAATGTTATTAATTTGTCCAGGCTCAAAATATAGCTCCCAAAAACTTCACATGTTAACTTCTGCTTTGAGGGTATTCATGTATATGGAGACCTGACACTGAGGTCCTGTCTCAACTAGGAAAGTGTTTGTTCTTACTATGCAGTACTAACAAATGATAAATAATGCAAGGTAAAGTCTTAGTGAGGATGGGGTGGCAACCTCTTAGCCTGGAGACTTAGGGTTTGCTTCAGCGTGCTAATTTGGCTGCCAACTTAATGTCAAATTGCAAACTGCCTTTGAATCATGAGGACTGAACTCATATTAATTATCTCATACAGAAGAGTATGACTCTCTTTCCCACACAAAATAGGCCTCTCAGCTGCAGTTGCCAAGATGACTAAAGACTGAATTATTTACTTACAAATAAGGATTGTACCTTATTGTAGCTGTAGAAGTACCTTTTGTCCTTGTACAAAGAACTATTCTGCACATTATCTATGTTGCTTTTGTTTCTGTGATGGAAGCAGAAATATTTACTCCTTTTTCTAAAAATGGTTAGTTCAGATACTGTCACATCATTATTTTTATTTTTAAACAATGAATGTGTTACTTAGACATTACAATTATTCTGTTGAGATATAAATTGCTTCAGATGAAAATAAATTTTGTGAGTTTACAAAGCATCATGCTGTAAAAGAGCATGTGAAATAAATGAAGTTTGGTATTAGAGGTAAGTAGGAATAAAAGTCAGGCCTTTGTTTAGAATAAACAGAAAACTTGAACATTCTTATTGTTCCTCGTAAGATGAGAAATAACGTGACACAGTTTGTGAAGTATAGGAGGAGTATCAAAATCATGGATGGCATTTTAGGATTCTCTGGGTTGCACTTTAGGCAACCAAGTGAAAGTTGACAAATTGAGATGGTAGAATGGACATCTATGAAAGTCTGAATCTCATTTGGATGTACCATATGGCTTTCTGAAGTGGTTTTGTGCCACCTAGTCTCTATAGGTAGATTATTAACATAAAAGTCTCAAGGCTTACCTAAAAGAGCAAATAATTCTTTAGTATAAAATGACATCTAAAGTCTTTTAATGTGGTGAGAGATAATGAATCGTTCAGTTGCAAGGAGTATATGGGAGAACAAGGAATACATTGTGCAAACATTAGCAGCTTAAGGGTAAAAGCAAATGACCTTTCAGGAGGGTGGTGTTTCAGGTGACAGTGATTTGCAGGAGCATTATACAGTTTAGTATTGTACTCTCTCTTTTTTTTTCCTTTTTTTTTTTTTCCAGGTGGCTTTAAAGTACTGATTATGTTAAAAGAAATTTATCTTTTCCTATGTATTTCTGTTGTTCTTTCTGCATTAAGGTTTAATATTGATGCATGCTGAAAGAGAAAGGTGTCTCAGACTGGAAATGTTTACTTCATTGAGCACAAAGCTCTAGTGTATTTATGAAGTATAAGGTGTGTATATATACTAAAGCCTCAGGATGTTTTGAGTGGTTGAGAATGCCCTCTGACTTTTTAATGGTTACTATATCATGAGACCTGGTGAATTTTAGCTGCTTTATGCATGTGAATTGGGTGGCATAAGGACAGAAGTCTCTGGTTCCTGGTTCAGTTTCTCCTGCATGCACTACTGGCATTGATAACAATATGAGATCTTATGGGATTATGTTTGTTCAAAGGAACTTGTTTGTTTATTTATGGACACTGATTAAACCACTTATGAAAAGTTAATATAATGTGTATCCTTAAAAACAGAGTGTTTTGGGGAAGTGCCAAGATGTTTTCACAAGCAAAATTTCTTCTCATATGCTAATTTTTCACCTTCCAGATTTCTGGTTGGTCCTGTCAGCTCTTGGAGTTCATTTGGGGCCTTCCTGGTTTTAAGTGTCGGTAGCTGAATGGGGTTTTTTTGTGTGTTTACCCTCACTGTGAGTTAAACCCCTTCCAATCCTGTACATAGAGTACAGAAAGAGAGTAGTATTTCTTTCACATTGGCAAGGAAGGTCTAGAAGAATCTCCCCACTACTCCTGTTCGTAACCAATTTTGGAGCTGACAGCCTCTCAGGTTTTCATTGTTTTTCTTTAAGTTGGAATGAAAAATTTCCTTTTCTGCTAGAAATGCAGGGCAGTCCTCCAGTTTCTTATCCACCATTCCAAGAAAGAGCAAGTCAGTGATTCTTTATAAACGTAAGCAACGAGAGGCAATAACGAAAGAAGTTGGTGACTACATTGTGTCCTTAATTTTTCAACAGAAAGCTATTTAAAGAAAGCTAAGTGACTCTGAACAGGGATTCTGGAAAATTTATTTTGTTGTTTTTTGCTGTTAACAGAAAACAAAATGACAGAGCCCCAAAACCTGAATCCAGCAAAACGGTGCCGGAGGCAAGATTGGCCTGGGGAGCTGTATGAGAATGGCTCATTTTATTTTGCCAAGAGACATTTGATTGAGAAAGGCTACTTGCAGGTTAGTGCTTCTGTTTTTCATGCTCTTTCGAATAATGCATCTTTTACTCTTCTTAGAGTATTATAGAATGCTCAGAGGGTTCTGAATTCAAGAATGTATTTCTATTTCTGATGCAGTCAGTATGAAGTAACAGTGCTTTGACCTCAGGACAGTTTGCTTATTGTGTGTAACTTCACAGGGCTAGCGGTAGCTAGGGCAGTTCCAGTAACAGCATCCCCCACAAATTTATACAAATAATATTGAGCAGTATTTAGCTATAAACCTAAAACAATACAATACTGAGTTTCATATCAGTTCACCAGGATGTAAGTGTGTATCTTATCCTTAATTTTAGTGTTAATAAGGGTGTGAGACTGACCTTCATGCAGTGTCACAGGCTTCTCATATAATCTGCAAACTTGTAGTTTTAGCCAGTTTAGTCTTATGCCAGTTTGGTATTGTAACTTAAACAGTCTTTTTGCCTTTTCTGATGTTTACATCCTAGTGTACTAATGCAGAGCAAATGTGTTTACTTCAGCTTTCATTTTATTTGTGTGCAAGTATAGTCTCAGTTTTCTCATGCAAGACAAGTTCTCTATTATTTGTCAGCAGAACTGAAAAAGCCCAATGTAGATCTGTCCGTATTTCTAATGGGAATACCTTACTGAGTGCGTCAAGAATGCCAGGTTCTTATTTCTCTCTGTTCCAGGTACCTCACTACTACAGAGATACTAGCTTTAGGTCTATATAGTTTGCACAGACCTATGCAGTGCCAGCTAGTGCTATGTGGAGCTGCAAGCATTGAGCTGCATAGTACAATTGTGTTGAATTCTACATTTTATGAAGGTTGGGCCACTAAGTCTCTGAGGATCAGGGCTTTTAGCTTTTTAATTACATTGGGGTATGGCGGATATTTTTCCAATCAAAATTTGCAAACAAAAAGTAAGCATACTCTTAGCAAATGCTAAAGGTATTACTATTTTTATTTTAAAAGACCTAGTGAAATCAGTGTGATGTAACGACTAATGCATAACATCTTTCTTGTATGCTTTCTCTAGTTGTAAAACGGAAATTCTTATCAACCATTGCCTGCAGGAAGTTGTTTCAAGTGCTTGGTTCTGTGTCACTAGCAAAACATCATTATTAATGGTTCACTTATATTTAAGCTACTGTGACCACTGCATAACCATATACTTAGCTTTCATTACATGATACTAAATTGTACAGTTTTGTATTTGTATTAATCCAAGCAGAAAATTTCAATGGGTTCTGTTTTATTTAGGGTGGTAAAATGGCCTACTATGAAATGCGTGCAGAGCACAGTGTGGATATTGATATAGACATTGATTGGCCTATTGCAGAGCAGAGAGTATTGAGGTAAAAGCACTTTTTATTCCTTTATTTCTTTGATATCACTCATTGTTTCAAAGTATGGTCATATGAATTCATAACATGTTATGTAGTCAAAATCAAAGATAATTGGACAACTATATTTCCACCCATCATTTTTTCCTATCTCTGTTGAAATAATATGAATTACCTTAGCTATATAGTTTTTGATTGTTTGTTTTTAAATGTTCAGCTTGGGGAAAAGTGTAAGCCCCACTATACCATAGCAATGTGTTAGCATAATCTTCTGGCTTTTCCAGATGAGTTAACTTAGGCTTCTGTGGTCTGGACCACATTTACTGATGCACATGGCTGAGAGTTTTCATGTACAAGGCATGAGCTGATTACATCTTGCCAGCTGCCTTTTCTTTGCAGCTACTCTGCACCTCTCTAAGGAAATAATGGGTGGGAATGGAAGATGTTTTCTGTGCCTTTTTCATCCTTTTCTGCATTTGGTTTTGCCCTAAATAAATGCTACAGAACATGACCTCATATGCTAAGGAAATAAATCTCATCCTCATTTTTAAATAGACAGCATAACTGAGCTGTCTTTTGAATCGTTTGGGGTTTTTGTTTGAAGAGGAAGAAATATAGTTGGAGAGTGATGATGATGAGAAAAGGCATTAGAAAAAAAGAATTTCAAAGCTGATTCTTCTGTCTAAAGATCACAATTGTATTTGAAATATTTTTGTTTTGGAGTGTGCAAAAACTTCCATCCTAAAAAGATAACTTCTTTCTCTAGCTTTGGATATTTTGGCAAAGAGCCATTAAAAGAGGTGAAGCTATTGGTTTGCAGTATTGATGGATGCCTGACAAATGGTCGCATTTATGTGACAGAAGATCAGAAGGAAATGGTCTCCTACGATTATAGAGATATGGTTGGGATCGATCTGTTAAAGAAAAAAGGAATCCAGGTAAGTGTTTTTCTGAAGTGTGAGGCTTTTTTCCTGATGTAACCTGAACATTAAAAGATTCTAAAACCCTGCAGCATGGAAGTTTTTTCATACAGCTTTTGATCAAGAAGCATAACACATTGGTTCAGGGTTGGAACAAACGCTGTTCTCAGATCCCTTAAAGGAAAATAAGTGTTTTGAAAAAGTTTTCAATCTCATTCACAGTAGCTGTAGCATCTTTTTCTTTTTGTCCTGGAAAAATGTGGGAAGAAATTTTTATGGTGTTTTGCTAGCACCAATCATACTGTGTTCTGTGTAGTCTAGACGCTTGTTAATTAGAAGTGAGCTTTACCAAGCAGGGATATGTTGTTACCTCTTGGCTACAGAAAGGGAAGAAATACCCAGACAAATTACTTGGTTCAGCCTAGATCACCCATGATTGTTGCAAAGAGGGGAAATCAAATCCCAAACACTTTTCTCTGTGTAGTTGTTCTAGCTGTAACTTATGTGCTTTGAAGTTGTAAGAATTCAGTGTAAATGAAAAACTGAAACAACACAATGTAACATGGCTACTTTCATTATTGTTATTACTGCTACTAAATCCTGCTGATCTGAATATTTACTTGCATTTTTGTAAAATTAGTCTGCTGGCTACTTTCTGTCTCTGCTGCTGCCTTTGATACAGCTAGAAGAATTTTTGGGGGTAAGAACTAAGTACAGATTTAGCTGCCTTCAAAGAGCTGTAACTCAGTCCTGTTGCAGATGGAGATAGGCATGGATAAGACACAGGTAGCTATACCCCAAGTAAACTTCTCCAGATACATTTTTGGAGTTGCTATTGTAGGATTTTTTATAACAGGCTAGACGAGACATTCATGACATACTTTGATAGAGATGTTGCTGCCTTGGGGCTGTGAAATGGAGTAAATGGTTTTTCAAAACTCTTTCAGGTTAATTTTCTATGAGGCAAAAGGGGGAGACAGCTTGTAATTGTTTCTTTGTTGCCTGTGGGAGCCCATTTCCATGCTTCTTGTGACTTGGAACTTTTCATTAAAAACCTGGTCTTTGTGCTGCAGTTCATGTGTTTCTAGTATATGTTGCTGATATACTCTTGATTTGTGCACCACTCTGTTCATTCTGTACTTAAAATCAGTGACAAGTATTTGTTAGTATTTGAAAGCAATTAGGGAAGATAAGCTTGTCCACAGCTTGGACAAAAAACTTGGAGGGGTTGTGTCTGAGACTTTTAAAAATGCTTCTGCAATAGTCTTCTGTTTTTAGCCTACTTTGTAAATTGTTTCTGAAATTTTGAATTTGGGATGAACTTCAAGAGGTTAGTGTACTGTGCCACTTCAGTCCGTTCAGGGTTCTGTTGATGCTCTGAAGTCCTACTGTAAATACAATGATGTTATTAGGTAGAGGATTCACAGAAAATAATTCATAATATTCTACTTCTACAAATATTACAGAAATCCTCCTTGGGAATTCTCTTATTCCTTACTGTGGCTTAATTAGATGATATTGCACTAGATAGTCAGCATGCCACTGTACTGTGATATCCAGTATTTTATTTGGTACATGTTGCATTTAAAGAGACATGTAAATTTCATTTTTTAACCTCAAGGAAGCCTACAGAATGGTGTTTCACTTTCCCAAACCAACTTCAAGACTCTGATATGGTTTTGGATGCTAATAATTTCTGCTCTGAGTTTTGATTGAAGAAACCAGTTATTCACTGCTTTTCTGATATTTCAGAGAGCTTCTAAGAGCAAAACTTCTACTGTTTTCTAATAAATCAACTTATATGCCTTATTTCTTTGTATGTAGAATTTATTCTAACTTTGACTTTATTTTAATAGGTTCGACTCATCTCTGAAAGAGATTGTTCAAAAACGCTGTCAGCCATGCAGCTGGGATGTATAGCAAAAGTCAGTGCAACAAATAAATTGGAAGTCCTGGAGAACTGGCAAAAAGACATGGGTTTGAGCTGGAAAGAAGTTGCTTACTTAGGTCAGTTCCTTTTTTTTGCTAGTAAAATTTCATGTAGCGTGCACAAATACAAACTTCACAGTGCTGCTCAGCTTCAAAACAATTTGCTCTTTGTTAATATGCTAAATTTAAAGGGATTGATGTGCAAATTACAGCACACAATCACCAAAAGCAGGTACGTAATTTAAGGCTTGTTAGGGTACAATCTAAATATTAAAGGCATTGATGAATCAGTGTCTAATTTGGTAAGGGAAGTCTTAGTTGTTTTTATAATGAGAATTAGAAAGCTTTTGATATTACAGTTACAGCTCACAATTTTGAACCGATTCTTGTTCATTTCAGATGGATATCTTATAGATTATATTCTCAAATGGAAATGAGAAATGGACAGGATTAAAACTGAAAGCCATATGATTCTGTACGAAACTATTTCAGTGACAGCTTAAGTGTAGAGTCCTGCAAATGCTTATTCAGCTGCTCACATAATTTTCCAGCTCTTAGAGTACCATTCTCTTGGCTGAAGATTGTGTAAAGTGTGATCAGCATTTACATGTATCACTAAGATTTTCTGAGAACTGAGTCACATGGGCAAAGTGCTGTTGAGCTGCTGAGATGACAGTTGTGGCATGAATACAAATTTAAAAAAATAGATTAATATGAACACGGAAAAATGTTGAGTTTGTTCAGTTTTTCCCTTCTGTGATATTTTGGCTTGTCTGTCATTTTTCTCAATAGGAAATGAAGAGTCTGATGTGGAATGCCTGAAGAATGCTGGCATGAGTGGCGTGCCTGCTGATGCTTGTGCAGTTGCTCAGAAGGCTGCTGGTTATATTTGTAAAAGCAATGGTGGCTGTGGAGCTGTCCGGGAGTTTGCAGAACACATATTCCTGTTGTTAGAAAAAGTGAACTCTGCAAGAAAGCGAATGGAAGAAATTAGAAGGAGGGGAGATGAGAACAGCAGGAGAGGAAATTAGGAACTAATGAAAAAAGAGTAACACAGTTGGTCAGTCCTGCTTTTCTTCTTCTCCTCTTCTGCCCAGTAAGTGTGTATCTCAAAGGATGGCTTATCTTTCAAGTTTTGTGTTGCAGTAGAGTTAAAAAGGTGTTTCCCTCTAAGATCCCACTTCGATTAAGTGCTGATATTCATGATTGTATGCTGATAATCATGATCATGATTATTTTAAAAGCCATTTAAATGCAATGGAAAGAATGCTACAAAAGGTAGCGTCATGTAAATCTACTCTTAATCATTACTTTTGTCCTGCAGGAATGATATGTCTTTATTTCATAATCTGAATATTTTCAGGGGTCTATGATTTTGCATGACTTGAGAATTTGTAATTAAGACTTTCAAAAAATATGTTATTTAAGTTTTGCTCATTTGGTTTACGTTTCCTCTATCAAATGTCAACATGATGTTGTACTTGTGTGCTTGCTTTTTGCAGGATTTATCACTAGTAAGGAGGAGTTTTAGCCCATGCTGGAGAGGTCAGGTGTAAAATAACTATCAAACTTCTTCCTATATTTTTAAAAGATGGTCAGCTACTGTGAAACCAGTTAATATTACTGTTAGTTAAGAAAAGCACTTAAGCATGTGTTCAGTTTTAAGCTCATATATAGTTAAATGGCATTTGGGATTGTGCCTCTTATCTTTGAATCTGTTTATATTGGGTTTTATTCAAGTGCTTAAATTAACATACCCAAATGCTTTGCCAAATTTGGAGTTAAATTTCCCATTAACTTTGAGATCTTTGCTTTGCAGAAACTTGGTTTCTTTTTATGAAGGATTTATTGCAACCGTAATGAATTAAAGAAAAAAAAAAAAAAAAAAAAAAAACAACATACCACCAAACCCAAACCTTTAATGTTTATTGTATGGAAAAGTAACTGCTGTTTACAAAAAACAACCCAAAGCATAGTTGTTGGTTGTGGGTTTATATAAAATCTATATTCAGACTATTTTTAGCATGTTAATTTAAAACCATTGTATGTGTATGTTTGTATTTATGGAAAATACAGTTTTTACTGTGTCTTGAATTAAAGAACTCAGTATCTGTAAAAATTTGTGGAACTGACACTAAAAATATACATCAGTTTTCAATCCTAGTATTTATCATTGAGTCAGTTCTGCCTTAGGTTATGCTGAAAAATAAAAAATACCTGTGGTACACAGGCAATTACTACTGAGGTGAATAATAATGGCTTGTTATTTTTATTTTGTTTCTCTGCTAAGTAGACATTCCCAATATAATATCACCTGATATATTGCCCTGTGATTAACTTTGTGTTTACATTCTTTTGCAAAGTTAAACTGAAATTCTTTTGTCACCTGTCTACAGTGAATAGTTTACTGTACTAATCAGCTCTAAGTTACCATCTTAAGTATTTCCTTTCAGTGAGGTTTTAGAGTTCTGCACTGGATAAGTCACATGGACTTTAATAACAGGAGAACCACATTTTGGACAGAACTACAGACTTTGGTATAGGGAGACGAATTATTTTATATAGACTATGTTGTAAAGCTTCAGAAGTCCAGATTGGATGAACAGTTCAGGTTTGATGTTGTATAGAATTGGCGAAGTTTTCGGTTACTTCACCTTGTCGTTGTCAAGTAACTTGCTGATTTTGATTTCAATAACTGTTTCCTGGAATAGATAACTTCAAACAAGATTACTGTGGTGAACTTTATTCGCATTCCTTTTATGTTAAGAGAAAGCAAAAACATGACTAAGTGCAATTAGAAGAGAAATCTGAGTTGGCAATGCTGTCTGTAACTTGCTGTTTGAATCAAGAACTCTTCTGATGTTTCAGCAGTTTGCTGCATGTGCTGCATGTACATTGGGTCTCTACCTAAAATTTCTACATGTTACATGTATCAAAAGTAAATGCAGAAACACTTTTATATGAGCATTGGTAATGAGCAGAAGGAAATGGTAGCTGATATATGTGTTTTCACTTTGACAAATTCTTGTTTAGAAAAACATGGTGTAATTTTACATTGGGTGTGTAGGAAGAATATGAAGAATAAAAGAGCTCTAGAGACTGTTTACAAAAGACTGTTTGAGGATATGGGGGATGCATGATCTGCTGCCTGAAAGGTTCAGATTTGTGTTGCCCGCACTGGAAGGGAAAGTGTAACTATAAACTAGAATAGCATGAGGGATGTCTTAATTACTCTTCTTGACTTTATAGAAGATCCTCGATCATATGAAGGATTTAGGGGTTACAGAGGCAGAGACAGTGAGGATAACTCTAACAGACACCTTAAAGGGGAAATCCCAGGTCCTGGGCATGCTTTGAAAGTGTAGTGTCTTTTGCCAGTGCCTATGGTTTCAGTACATACCCTGGCACCATGATTGCCTTTCGTTAGAGGTGTGTAGTTCACTCAGACTAGATTTCAGTGGTCATTTTTGTTATAGCAGGCTAATTTTGGAATAATGTCTTTTGTTTGTGTGAGCCCTTTGTTTTTTACTTTAAATTGCCTACAATATTCCAAAAAAGATCTTAGATAACATGGCTGTTTTACCATAATTTTGTGAAACTGAAAAAAGTAAACTATGTAATAATTTGTTGTAATCTATTATGAAAAAATTGCTGATTACCTGAAATTTGAAGTAAACAGCGTTTTTTAGTCTTTTGAAGTAGAGAATAGTTATGGGATGATTTATGATGAATTTGCATACTCTAAATAATCCAGTTCCAAGTTCATGTGCCACATGAATGGATTATACCTGATGAAGGTGGACAGATTTAATGCCTAGATTAATCACATGCACGTACAGTTAGTTACTCAAAATCTTCATCTTGATCTGTGTTTGGAGACAAATCTTGAGTGTTTTGTGTGTGTGGTTATACCCTCTTAAATAAACTTCTTCACCTCCCTGTATTCCATGTTTTCTAATAGCTGGTTTCACAGCACTGTGTGCTTTGTACCTGTGTTTGTGAAAAGGTAAGATTCAGATCTCTCTTTTCTTAGCTGTCAAAGACAGACTACTATTCATATAGAAGGATAATACTGTAAATTGAGCAGAATATATTGAGAATTATTTGGCAGGATGTTCTCAGAATTCTTGTTTTGATTAGGCTTTGAGAACTCCACTGGTCTTGGCTGTTTGATGACTCCTGCAAGGAGTGTTGAGGAGATGGGAGAAGGATAGACAGTAACATATTGTAATTACATTTGCTAACTTTGGCACAAGAAGTAGGGGTTAGCCTTTCACCTGCTACTGGCTCTATTAATTTATTTTTATCTGATCTTTGTCCTATTCGATATATGTTTCTCTCCAGTTCTGTGCTATTTCCTGTAGAGTGATGCGATATGTTCTGACCTTATCTCATTTCAAATCAATATGAATCATATAAAACTCAGCCTTTTGAGGTCAGAGAGTCTTTGTAATGTTTGTTGATTTCAAGTTCTTAATACTTGGTAAACCTTGGGCAGACATTAGTTAACCAGCTTTTCCAGAGCCCGTGTAGGAAGTGGGGTTTTTTTAAATTATATTTTCTATTAGTATTCTCTTAAAACACTATTTCCTGTTTCCAGAAATAACTCCAAATGGGTCTAGTTACACCCAGCAGGACTAATTATCTTAAATGTCAGCGTTATAAGGGCTATAATAAGGTACGTCCAGTAGAAGAAAAACACTCTTATGCATGAACGTGTTGCATAAATGAGTTAGAAAAACTTGTCACTAATGCACTTGTCTGAAAAAGCCTTGGATGGTAGGTTTGTTTCTCATTGTCAGACAGATTTGTCTGTCCCCATTTCTGATTCTGGATACATTTGTGTATGTGGCTCCAGTTTAATAGAGCTTTCCCACTGCTGGAGATACTGGAGGAAAGAGAAACATTTGGGAGCAGTCCCATTCTACAGCTGTTTCTCACGTCTCTGTGGCACTACAGACCACTTCCCCTGAAAAAGTTGCTATTATTTTCTTTTTGCAGGTGGAAAGATTTTTTTTTTAATTGTTTATAAAAAACATGTTAAAGGGAATGAGCAGCGAGCAATGTGGAGGCAATGATACCAAACTATTCAGGTTAGTAAAGAGCAGGGCTGATGAAATTGAATAGATACATATAATTAGATTATCTTAATAGAAAAACAATCCTAATGTCATATATAAAAAAATATCCATTTCTACTGAGTGGTTTTAATAATGAAAAGTATCTATTGGTTTTAAGGGTGTGTTAGCAGTTAAAAAAGCAAACTGCATTTTAGGAATTACTAGGAAAAGTTTATAGAACAAAAAGGATAAAAGTGATTATTCCACTGTATAAATCAGTGATCTGCATGTATCTTGAATACTGCATGTTTTGTTTCTTACCATGTTAAAAAGGTTGTAGCACTCGAGGTTTGTGGGAGGACAAAATGGATGATGAAGTAATCAGGTTCAGTGTGAGCAATAGCCAAGGTAGATTTCTTCATCTTGGAAGAAGGATGACTGAAGGGAGTTTTGTTAGATACCTGTAAAACTAAGAGGGACAGGAAAAAAAAAAAGAAGCTAGCAGTGACCAAAAGCAGGTGCCTGAGGAATGTAAATTTGCCATGTTGTATCTGGCGGTGCTTTCCAGTCTTCTTGTGGCCTCAAAACATTTGCAGCTCATGGATTTCCAAAGTGGGCATGGCTTACAGACACTCAGTAAACCTCAGCACACTTAAAACAGCCTTTGGCAATGTGTTCTATGAGTCTGACACCTGATATGGTTCCTCTGGTTCTGAACCTTGGTTTCTTCCTCCTATTTCTTATACAGGAAATAGCGAAGTGCATTTTTGTCTTTATTTCACAGTATATATCAGTGGTTCATTATAAAATATCGGTGAGTAGCTCTGACACAGTGAGGATCAGGACATGGCATTACTATTACAGATAGAAATTAATCATCTAATCTTAAAAACTCATTGAAAAATAGGGCAAAAGTACACACAGAACTCTGTAAAGAGTCTGATGACATCAGCTGAATTGGCATCCATCAG